TTTTATATATTTTTTATTTCTTCACGTGTCATAATGGTTTATATTTAAAATTTTATATTTCAAACTTGTTATAATTTTCTCAGTACATATATCTTTGGTTACAAATCTTTTATACCCGAGGTAGTTGTTGATATGATTTATTGAATAAATATTATTTAAATTTATAAAGATTTGAATAATTGATTTGCTATCTAGAAAATTGGTCATAGACCTTCCCAACGTGGGTAAACGTATAAACAATTAAATCAAGACCATTTGATGTTGGATGGCTGCAACATGCCATTTATTATTAAAATATAAAAATGTAGCACTAATTTAATAAATTGTTATATTTATTCTTTAGTTTTATTCATAATCCATAACATTACTCAACAAACTCGAAAAAAATGAGAAATATTCAACTAATAGTGTTCACCCTCCTTAGCATATTCCTAGATAGGCCTAGAAATAATAATTACGCAAAATAATCTTCGATATATTTTTAAATATGAATATAAAATCTTAATTGCTAATATTTTTTTGTATAATTTATTAAGCGAATGTTCATATTCCAAACTATAATCTCATAAGATTACAGCTCAAAACTAAACTCACGCGAACACCTGATCAACTCAGGTTGCCTCTACATATAGCTATTACATAAAAAGCATTTTGAGTTAAATTTATTAAAAATTATTTTGAAATAAATATGCGTTCATTGTAAAAAAAATAAATAATTTAATTTTATGTAATTTTAAGGACAATATTGTTTAATTGATTTAGATTAAAAGCATTATTAATAAATTAAATAATCATTGATTTTAATAGAGATTATATGGGCTGTAGGATCTTTAATAACTCTAGCGTAAAGGGGCAAGCCGTCAGTTTCAATTTTTTGATGAGGCTAACTGTCTCTTTTGACATTTTGTTTAGATGAGAATAACAGAATATAACATTAATATAGGCGGTTTTGAAACAATAAAGATATGAATTGAAGTGATGATGAATGCCAGAAATGGATCATATTATTATTTAATGGTGTGGTAGGTGATGATTAATATAGGAGTTAGTAATATTTTCAAAATCTATATGGTGTTACTATAATACAGCATTCAAGAGTTAAAATTCCATACTTAGTAAAATCTTAAAATTACAAATGACTTTAATTAAATAACAAGTTTAGTCAAAATTTTAAAAATATTATTATTTAAAATATTAATCAACAGAATTACCATCGAAGGATATGCAAGTCTCGAAAGAAACATGTATAACACCCCATCGTTTTGATTTAGGTTTGAATTAATTTTTAGTTAATTAAATTAATTATTATTTTAATAGAGATTATGTGACCTTAACTTTTATTTTTAAAAAAACAACTTAATTATTACTAAAAGTAGTTATTCAATTCATTTTCTATTTTTTTTATAAGTCGAATTATTCTTTATAAGTCGCCTTTCCTCACATCATTTATGATCTGCGATGGTTTTTTATCATCCATATACTTCTCGCTGCTAATTTTTTTCGAAAATCAATATCATAAATTGTTGTTGCCCATTTTTTCTCTTAAGTTGTATATTGTCTCTTCTATATATGTTAAGGATAATCGCGACAAGGATTCAGGTATTACATTGTATTTACCCGCTTTATGTTTAATGTAAAAATTATAAGGATGGCTATTGATGTATCCTCTTTTAGGCCCTTTGAAAAAATATAAAATAACGGCCTGTAGTTATTATTGTAAGTTTTTAATATTTTTATAATCGTGATGTGATCTTTTCTAATATGGTTGATTTGTAATTTATCTGTAATCTCTATTGTTTTGACTTTGTTGTAAATCTTTATTAATGTAATATCAAATTGTTGCACTTATGAACCTTTGATTATTCTTGTCAAAATTTTTTACATACTTTCCATTGTAAAACCTCTCATTGTAATATCTGTAATTATTGTTTAATTTTCTGTTGTCGCTTTATTGATTGCAACTGTGATTGTTATTTTCATGTCCTGGGTAATATCGTTGGAAATTGTTCGCATAAGATTTGTAGTAAATAAATCTGTTTTGATAATTGTATTGTTAGTTTTGATGATGAGGCATATAGTTGTTGTTTTGATTGTAATATCAATGAAAGAATGTTATCGTGGAGCCTATTGTTGAACATAGTTAGTATCATATTGCTAAAAAATTTTATTATCTCTTTTTGTTAATCTAACTATAAAATTGCACTCCCGTTATAGATTTCTAAATTTTACGGTTCACATTTATTTTAAATATTTTTATTATAGAATTATTGAGTTCCGCTTCAGAGCTTTTAGATTGTAGTTTTACATAAATGCTATCAGAAAGATTTTGGGTTAAAAATATAAGTTTTATCTTTAATTTTGTTAATATTTAAATATCTAGCGTTTCTGTCGAAATAGATTTTTATCACCTACAAACTTAAAGAATATTATTCAATCATCCTTAATTTTATCAATTACTTAACTTCAAGAAATCTATAATATATTATATTTTTATTAAAAAAGAGAATGAGAAAATAAATAAATTTAAATAGGAGAATTTTATAACTGATCTAAATTATATTAACAATAGTAAAATAATAAAGATTAATTCAAATAATCTTAATAAATAATGAGCCGCCGCAAATTTTTTATTAAGGGCAATATCTGCTAGGTGACCAACATTTATAAAATAATAGAAAATTCCTGCCGCCGTCAATTGAAGCCTCAACCAAGAAGTCTAATACATTATATTTTTAAATAAAACTTTTAAAAACTTTATTTTTTAAAAAATAATTAGAATGTGGAAGATTTTATTAATCTTATAAGATTGTAATTGAGCTTAGATACTTTAAATTTTTTAAATTGGCATAGTCTACTTTTGGTAGAACTGGAAACATGTGACTAATCAAGCTAGTGACTATGAATCATATAACCGCTCAAAATTAAGATCACATAAACTCCTGATCCGATTAATGTTTTAGAGCGTAACTAAACTCAAAATGCCCCTACATCCAACATTCTCTTTATTTTTGGCTCCTGCTAAAAGAATAGCAACAATTATTTTTTAAAACTATGACAAAAACATTTAGTATGAAGCTTTAGTAAGTTTAATTAATAGTAATTATATAGCAGTAGTACCAAGGCTATTAGTTGAAGTTACTAGTAACTTAAATAGAGGTATATAAAGTATCTAAACACAATTACAATTTTACAAAATTAATATAATCTTCCACATTCTAATTTTTTTTTAAAAAAATAATTTTTTTGAAAGTTTTATTTAAAAATATCATATATTCTACCTAGACCTGATGGCTGAGGCTTCAATTGGCAGCGGCAGGATTTTTCTATTATTTTATCCACGTTGGTTACGCGGCAGATATTGCCATTACTAAAAAATTTGCGCCAGAGCACTATTTATTAAAAATATTATTTAATTAATAATGCTATGTATTACATTTTTATTTTAGTATTGTTAATATAGTTTAGTGTCACTTAAATCCTCCTATTAAAATTTATGTATTTTCTCATTCTCCTTTTTTAATAAATATAAAATAAATTGCTTTAAGTTGTTCGGTAATTGGAAAATAATGTCCAAAATTAAGGATCATTTTGCTCGAAATAGAATTAATCATATAACATATTAGTACCAATCATATTTAAAGATATGATTATTTTGAACACAATGATCCCTAATTTTAGACATTATTTTTCCTATTTTATATTATATTTTTATT